CAAATACTAGCAGAAGTCCCGTGGGGTATCTTTGCTTCCAGTTTGCTCTTCTGCACGTGGTATTGGGCTGTCGGATTTGAAACCTCGCGGGCTGGGTACACCTATCTTATGCTCGGAGTTCTGTATCCTCTGTATACGTCAACGTTTAGCCAGGTACGTTTGTGAGGGTGTCCAATGTTATTTTGCCCTTATCGACACATTGCAGGCTATAGCAGCTATGGCGCCCAGAGCTGAGATCGCCACTGTCCTTTTCTCGCCATTCGTTTCGTTCGTGATTATATTGTAAGCTTACTGTCTCCTCCTTGACAAGCATGAATTTCACGTCAACTTTTAGCAACGGCGTCCTTCAACCGTACGGTCTTCTAGGTTGGTGGAAGTGGATGTACCGTCTCTCCCCATTTACCTATCTCCTTGAGGGGATTATTGGATACGGTGCGGTACCCTTCCTGCTCTTCTTTCCTCCCGTTTCCTAATGCTCTTCCGCAGCCGCAGGAAACTCTCTTCTAACGTGTTCCTCCCTCGAATATGTCACCCTTGTGCCACCGGAGGGCCGAACATGCAGCGAGTACATGGACCTCTTTATCGGCTATGCAGGCGGTTACCTCCTCGACCCTTCCGCCACAGCCGCATGCTCTTTCTGCCCCTTCCGCACCTCGGAAGCCTACCTCGAGTCGAACTTCAATATCAAATATGATAATCATTGGCGCGACATGGGTGTCTTTGTGGGGTTCATAGTTTTTAATGTAAGTGGTTCAAAAGGGTTGATTCGTGATTGACTGATGAATGGTGTAGATCATAATGGTATACGTACTGACGTACTTCTTCCGTATACGCTCGGGTAGCCTTGTTCCCTCTTTTTTGCGACGAAAATGACGTTGATAATTTGCACATTCTTTTTCTATCTTTTCCTGACCATGACGCACTATCCTCAGATACAACACACGGACTTGTGTAATCTCCTTGTACGAAGTAATGAAAATACAAGTAATGCCCAGTTTTAGACTGCAATTTCATATGGCGCTTTGTGAGAGAAAAACGCGTATATTAGGTAACAGGAAGACAGTCGACACCATTATAAAACGATTTTTCACACAGCAGAACACAGACCGAAAAACACAAAAGGCAGGATGATAGTACAATTCAGCAAGCGCGCGGAAACCGCCAATTGAGACCCAACCCGACTGGATATCCATCACTATATACTGAGGCTCTTGATGGGACGTGTATGTCGTGATTGTGCTGCAAGAAGACAGAACGCGGAGCTGGAGAGTATCGCATCGTTGGTATGTTGTACTTTGAGCATGACATGCGTTCGGGCGGCGAATACGACGGCGATGGCGCGCTAAACGCGTAAACGGGCGGAGGCGAGGCTATGGGTGACCCGTAGGCAGCGTGGTCGTAGATGGACGGTGTGAACGGCGGTAAGAGCATAGAGTTTGAATTTTTCGGCGTCGCCAGTAACGTTGGTCTGGGCTGAGGCTTGCGAAAGAACGGGGAGAGGTAGAACCATAGAAAAACGAAGAACAGAACAAGCGCGACGGCGAAGCCTAGGACTAAAGACGAGTCAGCGGCGGGAACGACGTCGGGGAGGCAGGATGGGCGTACTGCTGGTGCTACTGAGAGCTTGCATGAGAAAACGAGTGAGGGAGTAGTCGTGGTTATGGTTCAAGACGAACTGGCGATGTTTGGTTCAGCTTGACCTCTCTTGACCTATTGGTCAGCTCAATTATTCTCGACTATTCTCGACTCTTTCCCGACTTCTCAATAACTGTAAAGTTAATATTCTGAGTGGGATAAGTTTGGATCTACAATGTGCCAATCAGATACTCATGGCAATAACACGCTAGAGTCAATTGAAGAATCGCTCTTGTGGGACGTTCCACGACGCGGAGTCAGATTAAATGTATCAGTTTCAGGACGGAAGTAGTTCAAGCCTTCCCAACTTTTATTACTATACATCGAACACATAACAGAATGAATCGCCTTCGTAGAACCGGTACCTAGACTATAAACTTCTGCCTTAACACCGTGCCATGCCTCACGAACCCACTCAGACCATCAGGAAGGATCTGATAGGGAGACCAGTTGTAGAGGTCAGTGGAGTCCGAGTAGATGTATTTGCCAGAATCGTAGCCATCGGCATATCTGTTCCATCATAAGGTTACCGTCCAAGACACAGATGATGAGATATACTCACAAACGATGAGTACCATTCGGAAGAATGGTGACGCACGGGCCTTCAATATTGCCCCATCCCGCGAAGTCTCCGGTTTGTACAAAGGTATACGGGCCGGTGAGGGATGGAGCAACAGCATGCTCGACGTGCTTTTTCCCGACTGTCTCTGCTTTGGCGAAGAGATGGTATTGGCCTCTGCAAGTATGTCCTCAGATCAGATCATATAGTCGACGAAAGGGACCAGTCTACTTGAAAAATACTGGGAAGCTGTCGATGTATCCCAAACCTGCGTTAGATATACCGGACATGACGACGGGGCCGCTCCATGACGTGAGAGTGGCGTCGTTCGCAGTAAACACGTAGGGCAAGAAGGGTCCGTAGAGGGCAGTCGAAAGAGAAACAACAATATTCAGTTCGCCCGTCTTGGGGTCTTTAAAGAATTCCTTGAAAGGGAGAGAGATTAGCGGTCGCGACATAATCTGGTTTGTGGCGGTGCCTTACTGGTGCCCAAGTGTTGACCGGAGTAATTAATGAGGAAGCGGTGGGGATGGTAGCGACAAGCCTCCAGGTAAGGAGATCATGACTGTTCTATGGTACAAACGAGGGTGAGCGACGTTGCAAATCGGACCTGCAGTAATAAACACCGACCGCAATAGCAAAGTTGGTTCCATTCCAACCAGTCGTATCTCGAGAGGGTCAGGTATCAGGGCATGAAGTTCCTTTTGATAATCAGCGCTTCAGCTCACAAGCAATGTAGTATTTTCCACTAAAAGACAAGATCAATATCCAGGAATACCTCAAAAAGAGCACCGGTACCGACTCTGTGTGATGAATAATGCTCGGATCGCGAAGGATACTAGCAGCCGGGGTATAAGCTGGTCCTTTTAAAAGGTCGAAATTGGTGCCATCGTCAGAAGTGTATACATAAAGATCGGTTTCGGAGGGGTTGGTGAAACAGGTAAAGACATAAGCGGCTCTGACAGCTCGTTTGAAAGCCTCTGGAGACAGTGCAGGCCCGATGAGCTCTACCGGAGACGAAGCCACAAAGCCCAAGAGCGCCAATCCAAGCAAGGGGAGGAGGATTCCCATCGTAATCATGGCTCACATCATCTGCCCTGCTGTCGTCTTGTCTATTTAATAGCACCTCCGTGCGGTCTTCGATGCCAATGATAAAGTTTCGTCTTTGCTTCTACTTCGCAAGTTGAATATATCTTTGCCGGGCCGTCGTTATCCAGGTGCTCCTCAGGTTGGTCAGCAGCACCTTTGTCACTACCCATTCTGAGCTGCCGTTGATCTATGAATGCAGCGAAGGAATTCGAAGGGCTATCAGCTGGTTTCGCTCTGAAGCAGGAATAGTGCTGAGCATGTCTGTGACCAGCGCGTTAGTGTTGAAGAGCGGCGAATACGCGTATGATGCAGCTGCCTTACGATAGGCTTGAGATAGATGCTATATCTGCCACATCAGAGTCATCGATGTTCGAACGATACGTCGCGATAGTCTTTCTGAATACCCGAGTGCTTTCAAGCGCGGTTTGAGGCCAAAGCTACCTCCATATACCCTATTCCTAACTTCAGCCGTCGAATGATGGAAAAAAAATTGAATCTCACGTATGGGGTTGTCGTTGCCTTTCTAATCGTTTCAATGGTAAGATAGCAACTTCTTGGCACAGTTGCATAGATAATACACCTCTGAACTTGAAGAATGCTCGTCCCTCGATGGCTTTAGATGTACAAGAGCTTCGTTCCATCGATGTTGCCCTGTTTCACGTATAGAGAAGGAAGGTTGATGCAAAGGTTGTGGAAGTCTAGATAATCAGGATCAAGAAGCTTCATGTGGTAGTCCTCGCATAGTATATCGAATGCAAGGTAATGAATCAATTGTGAGCACGGGAATGTCGCGGTAGACTGGAAGACTAGATTCAATTTGATTGGTTACTTCTGCTAGACACGTGGGCTCAAGTTCAGGTCCGGCCCGGGCGCTAACTTTAGGACGGCTAACCTCTTACCTCCACCGCATCTTGGTGACATGTGGTGGGACTTGCTACCTTCAGAGTTCAACTCGCAATCTCCTACAAAAGGGTAGATTTTTTTGTACTTTGCATTAGGCCTTTCTCACCGAATCTGGCTGTCAGCTTCTACCTAAATACGAACCCGGATGGAAGCCGCCGCCATGGAAGACAGAAAATGAGGTGATATTCAGTGAACAATACACTCCTTATGCAGTATTTGTTTTTTTACCTTCTCTTCTCCTCATTACTAATTCTAGTTGGTGATAGCACTACTGGATCATGGATCCAAGACGCGTCTGCTCACAAAAGCGTCTCCAAGTCAAAATATCCCCACGAAAGTTCCGATTGGGTGGTTTCTGAGCTCTGATCTACGACATACTACAATCACCGCTTGATCAGGATACGGAAATTATTATCGCGCCTCGCCTGTATGAGTTCAATAGAGCTCCTTTCGATACAGTGGACTGTCGGGGTGTTTTCGTCAAATCTTCGAGGTAGGGTCTTTCGAGTATTCGTGACAGAAGAAAAACGTGCCACAGACCACAGCAATACCGTGTCGCGTGCCCATAAATGTAAGGGCAAAAAAGGCAGCGAAAGAAGCGGTGAAAAGGGAGCAAAGATGGCGGATGAATCCGAAAACCACTCGCCTCCGAAATTGGAAATCACCGCCAAAGCAGAGACGCGTGTTGAAAAGCTATATGGTGACTAATGTGACAAAGGTTAAAGTGGTATTATATAGAGCTATGTATGTACTGTATAAGGGTTCAAAAATACTTGAGGCGAAGCATGATAATCAAGAAAGGTACGACAAAAACAGATGGTCCACAAGATGTCGGAACCCCGATGTTCGGTTGTTCATCATGACTATTATTGTCGATTTACAAGCTTATCCGACCGCTCTGTCTGGGCTTCAATATCCATTTCATAGACTGCACTCCGCATGGTGGATTCCTGAAAGTTCGAAGTAGAAGGTTGAGAAGATTGTGAAGACATCTGGAAACGAATGGTAGACACCGCCGAACTTTCATCATGTTCTTCTGTTGGCCGTGTGTGTCCTGCCGCTGCTCTGCCAACAAGGAGCGTGGGTGCAACTCCCTACACAAGGTGTTTGATAAACGACGAGGGAATCCAAGATAGTGAACGCACCTTCATAATGGCAGTTGTTACATCAAGATAATACTGTCCAAAATCATTGTGAATGAAGAAAGCCAAGAATAAGACCAGAGCTATTGAATAGAGAGCGGAAGATTCCACTAGCACTTCAAGAAAACAGTAATAAGCTCTCAGTCGACCACCTGCCCCGCAGCCGCGTCTAACCCCGGTAACAGTCAAAATGCGGAAAATGATGAACATAGTGCACCATAATGTCGTTGCCAGGGTGGAAGATAGGTAGACCATCAGGAATACTGAGTCAGTTGCATTGAAGTACACATGATGTACATCAAAGATTTTTGACACTACACAGAAGTTTGATATATGAAAAAAGTAGACGAGATCGGACACTTTACCAGTTGCGGAAATTAGGCAAAGGATTGGAAGCAGAACAATAAACTGGCGCCGTCCCCAAAGCATCCAGCAGCACCAAATCTAGAGTCGAAGAGATGGTAAGCTGATGTGGACGATCACCGGCACCAGTGAAGTAGTACACACAATATATGAGTCGGCGAGAATGGTACTCAATAAAGATATAATACCAACCTCCCAAATGATTCCTTCCTTTACACTGGTAAGCTTCAAGTATACGGTCGAAAAACTTTGCCCGTTTTCGATAAATGCGGAGTATGTATATGACCAACAGGCAACAACATTGATAGTGTTCAGGCCATAAAGGAGAACAATAACGATGACCAAGGCTCGTCGGATCATCCAGCATTTGTTGATGACTACCGCACGTCAGCTTGGATGCTGCAGCAGACTCGGAGATGCTCCTGGCTCACATATATTCCACAATGTAACAGCAACAATGCCCGTATATATTCCTATCGTCAGTCAACACTTACACGTCAAGACGCTAAACATTGTTACCCACCATGCAATAGTGTGTAGAGAATTTCGGTGTTCAGCTCAGCGTCGAGTTCTTGAAACACATAAGCTTTGTGTTCGTTAGTCAGATCTGGTAGAATATCTGCCTGAGTCATCATGATGGAAAGCAAGAGAAACGGGGCAGTGGGTTTTGAGGATATCACATACCGCCCTGTCATTATAACAGTGCAGTCACTGGACACGTTCAATGGTTGCTGCAAAAATAATCATCAGTGCCAAGTCCGAGCGGAGCCTTACATACCGGTGAGATTTCAGCACAGCTGTCAAATTTCGGAGTTTGTTCCATCATAGCGTGAAATTTTTAGGGATGTCCACCGTACCCGTATAACGGGTACGCATGACCCGTAACCGTATCGTAATGGTCTTTCCTGGGATGCTCGACGGTACGGTTTACAGTACGGTCGTATTACGGTCATACGGTTATTACGGGTGTTGCAGCAAAGAATGGCTGCTAGATCTTTTATATATAAGCTTTTTGACTTCTATCAAGAATAAGAACATACCTTCATGACTCTTCCGGTAAATGATACAGCCTAATTAGCGGTGCCGAAGTTTTTTCAAAGAGAATGAATGCCATCCTGCTTGAAACAGAACCAGGCTGTCTTCTTTCGCTGAAGCCAAAAGTCTTCAAGAGCACGCATCAAGAGAAAACCGATGTCCGGTCTGCTTAGACAAATATTGAGCCGCATTGCGGATTCCTGGGCTTTTGTGCAAATACCTGTATTTACGGCTGTAAAACCGTATTACGCTGCGGGTTGTACGGGCTGATGCCGTACCGTAAAATAGTTCCTCAAAGGCCTGACGGTATGGGTACGGCACCCGTATCTGCCGTATGTACGGGGGATAGTGGGCATCCCTACGTGAAATTTGACTCCAAGATTGACCAGAAGCAAGGCGGGTAAGTTTCGATGACCTGTATGATATGCTGACGGCTCCTGAACCCTGGGAAAGGGATTGGCAAGGGTATCGATGTCTGCAAGCTATACTCCAACAAGGCCATACGCGATGGGCGAAAATTTATCCTGGAAATGATTCATCTATCAGAGAAGCAGGGAAAGAGAATACAACACGAACCTCATAATGAGCTTGAAGAACCTCGATCTCTTCCAGAGGCTGTTTCCATTCCGATACTCGGTACATCTCCGGAGACAGGGCGCTGCACAGCGTATCCGAGTATGAGCCGACCCATTTTGTTTGCATCGTCGGTTCTTCCTTAGCCATCACTTGGGCGCTGAGGGTGGTGACAGGTCAATACTGAGAGCTGAGAGAATTGAGGAGTGGGTCATAGAAACGACATGACGCGACGCCACTGGACAGCAGTTAAATCAAGTTACACAGAACAGTGACCGGGCACTGTTAGAAAAGATCGGACAAAATGGCGCCTAGGGGAGATACCTGCTCGTTGTGCAACGAAGAAGACACTGGCAGGACTTCACGGATGGGCTCATTATTCCAGCGCCCGTAAGTCACGGAAGGCAGTACGTGTACTATCACCGACATCCAGGAGGTGACGCTGCAACTCTTGATGCATGAACGTTGAACCCTTGTTGCTTCCAAGTGATACTAATAATACCAGATAACGCGTTAAAACGGCGGTTTCGTCGCGTTGTGTGATGCCTGGAGTGATTGTTGACGCTAAATTCACTACGCCCATCAAACAACTTGTCTTCATATGGATTGTTGAGTCTGGTTTAAGTTCCCCAGTGTCTCACTCCATAGATGACGTCTCTCCGGTTCTAAAATTTCCTAGCAAAATGAGATCGGTTTCATTGAGGATACAAGCAAGTCAGATGCTTCGGGCAAGTTGTTGTCCGATGTGGCTGTGCAGGTCTCAATTTTCACTCGGAGCTTTCCCTTCGTTTGTCAAAAAATTAGGCTCTTCCCCTCCTTTCGCTTATGCGTCCCTTTCGTGTTTGGCTTGGCCTTACTTACTCTCAAAATTATGACTTCTCCTTTTTTGCTCACTTCGTGGCTACGATGGACCTGGTATGATACTAGTACCTAGCTTCAAGGTGCGTACCGAGACTATCTATATGATTAGTCTACAGACAGCTGATTCTAGGATATTCGGTATGGCATGTCCGATCCTGGTGACAGGCACAGTGAAAGACCGATTGATGCGATGGCACAGGTGTGAAGCTTGAAGGTTGATGCATTGATGAACACAAGTGGATCGATGTCGGATGAACTCAATAGATCACTCTGGTCGATGTTTGAAAATTCACGCTTAATGGGACATTGTCACTATCATCGAGGAGACCAACACCGACAGGTGACTCAGAGGGCTCTCTTCCCTACGAAAGCGGGACCCAGGTCAGGATGGGGGGGAAGAACAAGTCTGGAAAGTAACAGTGCGTTAGACCTTTCTTTTTCGCGTAGCATTTTCTGATGTATTTTCTAGATGGCACACTCCGCTTCAGGAGGTCTAGAATTCAGTGCTGGCACTACATCCAGTGGAGGCCTTTGCTAGGGCGATACCCTGATTATTAGAGAGAACGGGTATCTATTCATGATGCATTGTTATTTATTGACTATACTATATTCGCATTTAACAAGGTCTTATTGTTCCACCAGAATCGTAAGGAAATTGTTCTCCTGATGCTCATTTCCTTCAACTCCCATCCTCACGAAGCACCCCTCCCCCCACCTGACTATGCAGTCAATGCCGTGCGGAATGCATACTGTAGGAAGAAACGCTCCTTCCGGTCAACCAACTCTTGCTTTGGAAACGAGCCTGTTGTACTGTCAGGGCAGATCATCGTCTCGTCAAAACCATATGAAAGGTGTTTCTTTCCTTGCCTAACAACCATCCCCGTGCACAGAGACCTCGGGCTCTTCTTTGTAGCCGAGATAATTCTTTGACGTTCTTCACCCATTTTTCTCAGCCACAGCCGACACCACAGGCGCATTCTCAGCATTCTCAGTCTCAGTCTGACTGTCAGCCAGAGCGGGATGCTCTTGCGGATGAGATTCGACTGGAATGTCTGGCAGACCGTATGGGCGTGAAACGAGGGTGCCATGGTCAGGGCGTATGATAGAGGGTGTTTTGTCACATATAACATGTACACACGTAACGTGGATCCTCGGAATTATTATCATCTACCTTATTTCAAGGAGCTGAATGGATCCATTAAATACGAATTTATCTGGAAGTCATCGTCTAGTCTTGGAAGGACTCCCGCGTCTTGGATGTTAGTATGTGGATTCATTCTAAACGTGACTCTGACTCTCTAAAGATACAAAGAGATACCGCGCTGGCGGGGCAGGCTGGCAGAATCAAAGGGCCTGAGTCAAAACGCTACGATAAACCCTTGCGATTATTTCGCTTTCCTCCCGTGCTAGAGTCATTGTCAGAATCTATCGATAGCCTTGTTTTACGTCTCTCGTTGTTAGTACCCGGTTGTCGATTACTCGATCTAGGATACTGAGCTAGAGAGAGAGAGAGATTTTCGAGATTGCCGACCCAATATTTCCCTCGATCTAGTCCTCGTCCTCGCAACTCACGAGGACCAGTGGAACGTGGTGGGTGCTATACCAGTTCACTACCACCTCGACGCTCTGATACGAAGTGGTCATAAGCGACAGTTTCACCGTTCGCTAGGTTGAGGTTGAGATTGCCGTGTCGCTGGACTGGATGCCAGAAAATGTGGAAGATAGGAAAGAGGAGGTCCGATGATAGTAGATAATGTTCACTAAGCATCAAGGCTCGCAGCTCCGAGGAGCGTTCCTTTGAAATTGATGTTGACGATTCGCCGTGGGCTCGTACATCCGTGGTGAGGATCATTAGAGGTTTTCACAGGGCGAGTTTGCTGTGCGGTGGTGGCGCGTGGGTGTTTCGTCGTTCACTTGAACGTAGCTAGGGTTCGGTGGAATAGGATACCGAGCGTTTGTCTTAAAATCTGCTGTGGTAGTGACAGACTAAATGACGGCTACACAGTGGAGGAGTGCCAGGGCGGGATATATGCGATAGTATGATGGAAGCAACCGAGAATCTGATTGTAAGTAAGGCAAGATAGCTGGAAGCGCAGGTGCTGCAGTGCTGATGCACCGGAGAGGGCTCGCGCGCAGTTTGACCGACTATCGTGTATGGCTCTGTAAGGTTGGACTGAAGGAGACGTCTATATAGATTTCCATGTGATTTGTTACGTCGTCGGTGCTCGTCAGTGTGAAGATGGCAACCCGGGGTTGGCGATTTCGACTGTTCTGGTGACGATAGTTGGCCCGGGAGCGTGAGAACATGACGTCAGTCTCACTCGATCCAGTCTAGCCCGTGCCGTTTCTCTTCCTTTTCTTGACGTCGATTGAATATCTAGAAGGACTCTCAGATTCGGCTCCCCGACGCCCGACACGTCCTGCCTCATCTTCCTTCGCGCCTCATTCAAATCCAGCACTTCCCTTCCATGGTCACCCATCACTACGAGACGTCGCGTCGCAAACGATTTCACTATTATGATCTCTGGCCAGACGCGCCATATCAACCACGATCAAATTCTTCTCAAGGATTATTTTAGAGAATATTAAGAGCACAGAGTAATCAACGCATACGTGCAGGCGCCACCTTGAAAGAGTTACACCCGGCTCTCTCTTAGTACACCCATGGCGTCACTCCTTCTCTAGTTCTTACTAGACCCCTCGCCGAGACTGAGAACCAGATGGTGCACCTACTTTTCTGACTGGCCCCCTTGATCCACGAGACATGGGTTTCTCGTGTCGTCCGAGAATGCCTAAGGACGAAAAAGAAGGTGGAAACCCACCAATAAGAGATAGAACTGGTGAACAATTCGTCAGTCTGTTGAAGATTAGGAACATGGTGCCGAGGGTGAAGCCGATATGGAGTGGAAGAATACAGAGATTGACGACGAGTTGACGATGCAAGTTTCGATGAAGAGGGACAATAGGAAGGGATGAAGAAAGCATTGAATTCAGAGGTGGTCGGACGAGGACGACGAGGGCGAGAACTGCGAGGCTGCACTTAGTGGAGAAACACTGATGAATCTTCAAAATCCCTCATATCCAAGGTCGACAAAGCCGCCTCCACGACGGTTCCCAAACCCAATCACTACTGCCGAACAGTCTCCATATTCTCCATCCTTGGCTCCGAGTACAACCTTTGTGCGAAAACTATCTCACGGAACTCTTCGACTACCAGACCTTTCATATCACGATGAAAAATTTCCAAAACCGTTACATGATTGTCTCCTCATGCAGAGCGATGCTGATAAACCACGTTATTCAACGTCGAAGTTGCTATGCATAAGACAGGTATGGATTAGATTCTTCGTGAAGTAGCAGGGCATCGCCGGACGAGGGTGGCTCGCTCCCCCCCATTGTATTCTGTATCGATGAGCATCGCTACTAGTGCTAGAAAGGCATGCTTCTTAGAGCGCATCCTGGTTCGGTCACTGACTATTCTTTCATCCTTAGATCTAACTCTGAACGAGTTATCCAAAAATATCGTATCGAGGCTGCCGGTACTTTCAACCTTGACGTGAAGTGGTCTACGTCACTCCCACTAGTCCAAGGGATGGTCGGCAACT